AGACTGAAGAGCATTCTTATGTAGTAAAAGCAATCACAGAAGCCTAAAGAGGTTTGGAGTTTCAGTGTGTGTGAATGAGAACCCAGTCCAAACCACAGATTCTGTCTGCCTCAGCTTTCAGCTCTTTAATCTATCCATCAGTCTATTAATCCTCCATTTATTGATCTGTAATGGACTCTTTATTTGCACACAATAGATTAGTAGGGTATGAGAACCCTGGGTCACATCTTCAGTCTCATTACCCCCATCTCTCTTCTCTTCTGCCTCAAATAGCAATCTCAAGAGTGTCAGCGCATATTAAGATGAACGCTACAAAGACGTTATAACTTAGTGGGTTTTTAAGCATTTCCACAGTCTGAATGAACCACAATTAGGCCTAAATACTTTTACTATTATTATTGCTGATTTTAAAAGTAAGTTTGAAATGCCACAAAGCATTCCTTTGACTTTGGAAATGTTTTATAATGAGCGATAAGATCAATCATAGTACATGTGATGGATGGATTTAAGGTCAAACATAAGCTTTTGATTCGACTTCATGACATGAAACCCAAGATGAACAGGCCTTTATATCTGATCTCTTCAGTTACACTGTAATGATACTGTTAACCTCTGTAGTCTGCAGAAATGAATGATACTGTGCTGTTCATGAATCAAATTCGGAGATATCGCTCTAAGCACCTAAGCCTCGGTACTGCTTAATGCAAAACTGATGATGCCTCTCTTCTTCATTCGCATTATAAATTTGATAGGGCAATGAAGTCTAGACACAAAGTAATGGGAGAAGAGAGAGGAAAACAGTATTCGGAAAGGACCTCTAGCAGGGACTCAAACTCGGTTTACTTTTTATTAAGGCAGTTTGACTTCAGAAAAAGGAGCAGAACTTGTAGATATTTTGCACTGTGCTGTTTTGCATAGTTTATTCTGTTGGATGACATTTTTGACTCAAGTAACTTGCTTTTATTGCATTGCAGCCAGCTGGTGAAGAGGTAATAAAGGTACCATATACTATTGTAACGGTGTGAAATCATCTAAAATGTGATTTACTCATAAAAGCATAGATAATCCAGCAGTCAGTGCTATTACAGAGCTATGATTCTCCGGGAGCCATAAAAGCAGCACAACACAGTGCAATGCAATAAAGCTGTTTGTGGCATTGTAAGTTAAGATTGTTGTGCTAAGCAGACAAAAATTCACAAAAAAAGCACAATTACATATACGAAAGTCTTTGTTTTTGTCAGTGATTAATGCTAAATGTAACTGAAATTCCTACTGTGAAAGCAAAGCGCTTGTTGCAGTGCAGGGGCGTAGCCATCATTTCAGAAGTGAGGGGGATAGAAATGTTATATATATATATATATATATAAAACATTACAATATAAAATTTCTGTAATCTATATAACCTACCAGTCAACAGTTTTTGAACAGTAAGATTTTTCGTTTCTGTTTTTCTGAAAACAACTGTTTTCATACAGGTATAGCTGGACGCTTTTGTCCATATTAGGAATTTACTCGTACGACTTTCTGCGCGAGAGCGCCCTCCGGCTTCGAGTATGAATGAAACATACACTGCACGGAATGTTTAGCGCTCCGAGATGTTCATCTCGCCTTAATCTGGGTCCGAATAAAACATCAGATCATGCACAGACTATCCTGTCTCTTTGAATTTAAATCTATATTTATTCACACCGGCTCTTGAAAACCTCTATGCGAACACATTTGCCCGAAAAAGTGCGGGGGACGAATTTACGTGATATTAAAAGTGGGGGGGACACGTCCCCCGCGTCCCCCGCGTAATCTACGCCCCTGTTGCAGTGTAAAGAACTTTGACAATCTGTTTCTAACCAACCTTTTTAACCAAGAAGGATTGTAAAAACTATGATCATTTATTAATATTAGAGTAAATGTAAAGTTTTACGCTGCAAGGTTGAAATAAGAATTGATTTGGGGCCTCTAAACCTTTCATATAGCTGTGTGAAGTTTTTTTTTTATTAGAAATTAGTCCATTTCTGGGCCATTAAGCCAGTCAAATTCAGAGACAAGAACTAATTCGTATCTTCGAATTTGATTGGCCTAATGACTCAGAAACTGGGCTTCACTGATAATACTAAATACAGCGATCTGTAGGACATCAGAGTACTTGTGGTGCATAGCATGTTAAATAATAATCAGATATTTGCTGCCTGGATGTAGCAGACTGATCTAACAGTATTAGAGCAAATGAGCAGGAAGAGGTTTGTGAGCTACTTGAGTCACTGGCATGCAAGACTAATTAGAAGTTGAAAAAGTAGATTCAAACACTCGCAATACTGCAGGGAAATTTGCTGACAGCTAAAGTGCAGAGACGTGCTGATTTGTATACTAATGCACTCTAGCATAACAGAGCAGTTACTGAAAGATGTAATATTTTGTCTCTCACTTCTGAGTGGATAATAACTGAGCCGCACCACTACTGCCTCCCCCATAGCAGCGGCTCAGCTGAAATACTGCCAATCCGTTTGAAAACATTCCAATGACTTCCATTTTAAAACAAAAGATAAGTTATTGAATTTGAACTTAAATCAACTATGTGAAAATGGCTCTAAAGTAACCGTTAGACAGATTGATGCTGAACTGTTTAAATATCGTTTTCTTTGAGAATGCTACAAAAAATGCAGTCAACATTACTGTAACTGATGGATTACTTTTCATAAACCTGTATGTTGCCTGAAATTACGTAAACTGTCAAGTATTTAAAAAGGTAAACTCGTTTGAAGTACTTTAACACATTGCCTTAAACTGTACTCTCTTGTAAACAAATATATTAGCCTGTAATGTCACTGACTAAATCACCTTCCAACTTTTTTTAGTGTTTGTACACATGAAACTTTCTCACACTGGTGACAGTTTAACTAGGAAGAATCTGTGTCTATCCAGGTTTTACAGGTTTACAGCTTAGGCAAAATGAAAACAGTTCATCTGCAGTACATGCAATATAGATTATGAAACTAAATAGGCACACAGTCAGTGTTTGGGGTCACTTTATTATTTTTTTAATGAATAAACAAATACATTTATTTAGCAAGGATGCATTAAATTGATCAAAATGACAGTAAAGACATTTTATGATGTTACTGAAGATTCATTTAAACTTTCTTTTCAGCAAAGCATCCTGAAAAAAAATCTTTCATTGTTTCCACAAAAATATTAAGTAACACAACTGTTTCCAACATTGATAATAATAATAAATGTTTCTTGAGCACCAAATCAGCATATTAGAATGATTTCTGAAGACTGAAGTAATGGCTGCTGAAAATTCAGCTATGGCATTCCTGGAATGAATTGTATTTTAAAATATATTAAAATGAAAAAAAAACTAAAAAAAACTTATTGTGACGAGTGTCACGATGTCACACACACGAGGGACGAGGAGACGCTGGAGAATGCTTTTAACAGGACTTTATTGGAACCAAGGGAGACGAACACAGGAAGACCTTCACCAGAAGACGTACAACATCCAGACACCGGATGATTGCCTCCTTCCAGCCGAGGTTGGCGGTGTCTGGGAGCTCCGTGGGATGATGGAATGTTATCCCGATCCGGAACAGCGTTGCGAGGGTCTCCCCCTCGAGGGAGCTGGTGAGGGCGAGCGGCACGAACGCCCTCGCAAAGACGATGGGGTCTGTGCTCGCCTGAGCCAACCCGATAAACATCAAACGCTCCTCCATTTGGGGACGTGGAGGAGCCCACGGGAAAAAAGGCAAAACAAAAACTTACAAAAACCAGAAATCAAACACGGGGAAGGGATGCCGCTTACGGTTTGGTCCGCTGTTCTGTCACGATGTCACACACACGAGGGACGAGGAGACGCTGGAGAATGCTTTTAACAGGACTTTATTGGAACCAAGGGAGACGAACACAGGAAGACCAGTCGTCCGCGAGGGGCTGTCGCGCTATTTTGTGTTTATTTTATTATTAAAGTTTTCTTTGAACGTTCGCCGGTTCCCGCCTCCTTCTTCCCGAACTACGAACTTTGTTACACTTATTTTAAATTGTCATTGTTTCACAATGTTAGAGCTTTTACTGTATTTATAAACAAATCTTACCTAAACTAAAACAGTTATGATTATTATTCTAAATTGTTTGGCATTTGACAGTCCTGCAACTTTCATCCTCTCATATCTGTCAAAATACTTTATTTCAGGATTTATTTATAAATATTTTTGTATCCCTGTTGTCTCACTGTTTGACCACACAATACACCTTTCTTTTTTGCCATTTTTAACAATCCAGGAGACTTTGAAAGCCTTAACATTTGTGACTGAAATGCATGCAGCACATAAAACAATTTGTGTATGAAAAAAGGACTAATTAGAGTATTATACAGTAGGGCCTACTTCAAGGACTGACAACCTGCTGCTGTGTGAATGTAGCTGTAGCCACCGCAGCTCACGTTTACTGGACTTCTAGATTTTTCCAGCAAGTGTTTAAATGGGTTCAGACCTCCTCAGCTGTAATGGGAGTTTGTGTTTCGCTTGTGTTTGTTCAATCTGTCCATGGAGCACCGACTCAGATTCAGCTGTGAGACGCAGGGCTGATTTCCCAGAAAGGGCTTTAGAGCGAAGACAGAGACGAACAATCGCTTTGCATTAGGCGAAAACGCTCTGGCACAATCAGTATCCTGTTTGTGTGTGAGTGCGTGATGGTGCACAGGGGACGTGGCTTGTTTCATGTGTGTGTGTGTTATGGCAAACAACATGATTGAGTATAAGAGGAAAATGGATAGAAACAATGGCCAAAAATATTCAAGAGCAGCTGAGAAGAGGTGCATCTCCCTTTGTCCATCCTTTAAAAGCCCTCTTTTCCATTCTCATTACTCTCTACTTGTTCTCTTCTTCCCATTTAATCCTTTTCACTTGTTCACAGTCTCTCTCTTGCTTCACCTCTTTCTTTTCCCATCATAGTGTGTCCTCTGTTGCTTGTCTGCATGTAAAATCCTCTCTCTCTCTCTGTTTCTCCAGATGAGTATTAGCCAGCCGGTCGAGTAGAGGGTCCCTCACATCCCACCTGCAGTCATGAATGGTAAGAACACAGCTCTTTTGTGTGTCAGGGGCATGGATTTTCTTTAAATCCCATTATCATTTACTCACCCTTATGTCTTTTAAAACCCATTTAGCTTTCTATCTTCTGTGGAACACAAAAGGAGATGTGTAGGAGAATGCTCAAGCTGCTCTTTTCCACACAATGAAAGTAAATGTTTACCATGACTGCCAAGACTTGACTTTTGATGAATAACTTAAATTTCACTTCATTTTTTTTTTTATAGAGATCTGTCATATGGCTTCAGGCATCTTGGAATATAGTCATATGAACCATTTTTATGACCATTTTAATGTGAAGCTTGACAGCTTCTGGTCTCCGTACACTTTCATTATAGAAGAGAGCAGCTCCGACAGTCTACTAAATATCTTATGTGTTCTGCAAATGAAGGTCATACAACACAGGGGTGAGTAAATGATGACCACAATTTAATTTTGGTTGAACTATGCCTTTAAAAGGATGAGGCTATGGAGAAAAATTCAGACGCAGCTCATTTGGCTTGTGTGCTGAATCACTACAGAAAAACATGGGAAGTTCTTGTGTTGTAGAATCTTCTAAGGCTGAACAGACTCTTAGTGATGTCGTTATCAGAATGTTCACATTTTTTAGATTCAGCGCAGGGTTTGTACAGAACACACCCAGTTGAAAGTTGTTAATGACTGCTTCCTTATTTATATAGGGACAGACTAATATTTGCTAAACTCTATAAAGGATTTTGACTATTTTTTTTTTATATTTGCTGCACTTTCATAAAAACATTTTTTTTTTAATTACCTTGAGGAGGTACCTTTTGTAGGTTAGTAGGTGTAATATTTTTGTAAGTTAATATTGTTGATGAAATAAGATAAGGTAAAAAATGTTTAAAAAATGTTTAAGACATAATAAAATAAAGTCAATTAATTTGAATGTTACAACACATTTGTAGGTTAAAGGAATTCACTCCATCTCTTTTCTAAATGCATGTTATTGATTTTATCATGAATTAATAATCTATGCATATGTTAGATTTGGACCTCTCTCTCGTGGCGTCCAATAATTCCATCCAGATAAACCCCGCCCCTTACAATCGACTGCAAGCTTTTTGATATGCCTCCATCCAATAAAAAACTATGATTTGGACCAAGTCCCTGCCCTATATTTTTTATTCTTAATAATCCATTTCACTCGGATGTATGTCTCAATGCAGAAGAAAAGATTGGTCACTACTTCTGTTACATCACAACTGTGGTGGCACCATTCTACCAGTGATGGTAAAGCATAGTAATACAGTACCATGGTGCTTTGAATTATGCCATCATACTGAATTACTATAATATTCATATTTAATCGTTTTTACATGGTACTTCATAGAATGTCATAGTTTTACAATGGTATAATGTATTACCAGAAAAGAAGGCACAGAAAGCAGTGAAAGATACTTTGAATAAAAGCGCCAAACAAATTCTGTACAATAAATGTATATCAAAATCCATTTGTGTCCAAAAACTTGGTAATACCTTTATACTTGTTTGTGAGGGAAATCTGAAGGAGCCTTTCAGATGTACTGATTGAGACACCAGTCTGATGTGGTTCAAGTCAGCTCTCGCTAAGGTTTTAATAAAATATTTATCTTTCAGTCCAAGATAAGCTAGAGAAAGAGAGCAGGCAGGGTGAGTGGAGTTTGTTTAATATCTTGGGTGTGTTTTGATGTGTGACTTTAAAGTGAAGCAAAATTGAAGCATTTATTCTTTAGCTACAATTTCCTGACTTTAAGAAAATCCCAGGAGGGATTTTCAGGTCTATTTGTTGAAGGCTGCATCATGGTGGTGGTAAAAGTAGGAAAGCTGAGGTTGCAGGTTTAAATACTAGTGGTTGGTTCCTGACATAAGTCATATTTGTGTAATTGGCTATGAAGCTAAATTGCTACATCATCCCAAATAAATGCTCATTTCAGCACTGAGGAACATTTTGGACATTGTTAGGAATGTGTTCTTTGTGTGTGTGTGTCTGCGAGCTTATTTTGTCTCTGTGAATACTTGTTCGTTTGTTTATGTATATGTGTGTAGTCACTGTAGTGGTTAATCCTCTTAGTGCTTTTGGGAAAGGGTTGCCTCTTCACAGTTTAATCAACCTGAAAGTGCACAGTGAGAAACAGATATTGTTTGCTTATAATGTGTGGTATTTTTGGATGCTTTATATGCTTCTGTAAATTACATATATCAGTTGGGATCTTAAATTTGTGTAGTTGTTTCTGTCTGAGCGCTAATGCTAAAGCACAAAAGCAAACCTGCTACATCTTCAACAGAGAAACACTTACTCTTACCACTTTAATAGCTAATTGGGCCTGAATTAGTAATAAACCTCAAGTAAATGCTTCACTGTGTGCCTGGCCTGGAGGGATTAAAATTTCCCAAAGGAGCACCTGAATACACCATCACACAGACTCCCTGATTCCCACACTGACACAGTCCGTTGCCACGTTTCAATGTTAGGAGACCTGATTGTGGAACCGTTTGTCCTTGAATACTGTGTAAAATGTATTCATGCTTCTGCTTCATGAGCTGTGTCCCAACAATTCCACCAAAAATTTTAATATGTCCTGGGTTCTGCTTTTATGCTCACTGACTTAACATTGAGTATCCTCAGTGTCCTTGTAGCTACTGCCTCTGGTATCATATGTGCTTCACAATAGAATGACATTGCAGAGAAAAAAGCTGTTGCTTTGTCATTGCAACTTGTTTTAGCAAATCAGCCTACAGTATATGTTTTACATTGTAAAATATTTTTAAATTGTTGCTCAGAACATTTCAGATTCACCATCAAGACACTGGCTCCCCTAAGGAGATGATCAGATTCATGTAAAAATAAAACAAAACTGCTGACTATTAAACTACTGATATTACTAGTCGTGTGAGTGAACGTGATTTCAAACATATTCAAAGTACTATTGATTTCTTTAGAGCTTAATCATTTTTAATCTAGTGCTACTAGTTTGTTGAAAGTTGGACTAATTGCTCCTTTTTTGTCATAAAAAGTAGCTCCATTTTCCTGAAGTAAAGGATGATTATCTCAAACTGTCAAAGAGTTTTTATCTTTTGTTGAATGAGCTAAATTTCCGTGAAGAAAGACATCACATGAATTCACAGACCTGCGCTTAATTAATCATGATGGCCTTTTTCAGAATCTTAGTTCTGCTGACAATGCAGGAAAAGTGAGCTGAAAGTAGTTTGTTTCCTCCCCAGAGAAAAAGAGAGGCTGAGAAAGAAAGAATGAACAAGAGGGTGTGATAACATTTGCCCCATTCTTTCATTAAAGGAATAGTTCACCCAAGAATTATAATTTGCTGAAAATGTACACTCAGATGTAGATGAGTTTGTTTCTTCTTTGCACCAGATTTGGAGAAATTTAGCATCACTTGATTGCCAATTGATCCTCTGCAGTGAATGGGTGCCGTCAGAATGAGAGTACAAACATCTAATAAAAACAATCCAAAAATCCACAAGACTCCGGTCCATCACTTAACATCCTGTAAAGCAACAAAAAAAACTACATATTTGTAATAAATAAATTCATTTTTAAGATGTTTTTAACTTCAAACAGTTGCTTTTAGTTAAACTATAAGTCCTCTATTCCTAATGTTGCTTTCTGCTTTCTCCACTTAAAAATCGTCTCATCTGAAACAGGAGAGAAATATGCACAGATCAGTTTTGTGCTGCACAGATCAATTCTCTGCTGGTATTTTGGCCAGCAGTTTAAAGTTAAAATTCCTTAATGAGTATTTATTTCTTACAAACATGCAGCTTTTTACTTCACAAAACATTTATTGATGGTCTTGAGTTGGTGAATTACTTGTGGATTATTGTGTTGTTTTTATCAGCTGTTTGGACTCTCATTCTAACGGTACCCATTCACTGCAGAGGATCCATTGGTGAGTAAATGTTGTAATTCTACATTTCTCCAAATCTGTTCCGATGAAGAAACAAACTCATCTATGTCTTGTGAGTACATTTTCAGCAAATTTTCATTTTTGGATGAACTATTCCCTCAACTAAATAAAGTTCCTTTTTGAAGGAAACCACATAGTCAGAGCTGCTACACAGCTGTATTTTTCAAATCAAGTACTGTCTGCACCTATTAAGAGCAGAGCCAAAACACCAGCAGGTGATAAAAGGCTTGTCTTCAGCATTCTGTGTGATAAAAGGCTTGTCTTCAGCATTCTGTGTGAAAGCTGTGTTGAGATTGACTCACTTTGAGCATGTTAAGTGGAGCAGGTTGTAATTGGACACTGACATTTTTGATAGATCTTTGCCTGCTGCCTCTGCGAGACATCATGGTTTACAATAAATAGTAAATAATTATTAATGGCACTGTCATTCCATTAAAATATGTCAAATATGCAGCCTCTTTCCAGCCAGACATCTCTAATGCCTGGATCACACAAGCCAACAGCCTTTGTCAAAGAAACAGACAATCTTGCAGAGAACTGGCAGGAACTTCAAGACCCACAAAGGAGAAAAACAACAGCTGATCCAGGATGAGATTTGAGAAGACAGAACATAATAATCAAAAGGAATAAAATTTCTTTCACTTTCTCTGTCCCTGTCATTGTTGCAGGTGGTTTTCATATTTGGGCTATAACTCCAGAAGAGAGGGGGAAACATGACAAACAGTTTGACTCTCTGGCTCCCACTCTGGGTTATTTGTCAGGTAAGAGCACACACATACATACACTACTGTTCATATGTTTGGTATCAGTAAGATTTTTGATACTTTTTGAAAAAGATGTATAATTTTACTCGGCAAAGACACATTAAATTTTATCAAAAAATACAAGTAAAAAAATCCTGAAAATTTTTATCAAGTTTCTTGAGCAGCAAATCAAGATATTAGGATGATTTCTTGAGGATCATGTGACACTGAAGACTGGAGTAGTGGCTACTGAAAATTCAGCTTTGTCATCACAGGAATAAAGTGAAATTTAAAATATATTAAAATAGCAAACCGATATTTTTAAGTTGTAATATTATTTTGCAATATTCATGTAGCATATACGACACCTAAAACTTTTGAAAGGTAGTGTATGAACATGCAAATTATGCTCCATATACAGTGCACGTAACTTTTCTTTCTTTCTAGGAGATCAAGCACGAAAGTTCTTCTTACAATCTGGTCTTGCCACAGCAGTCCTAGCAGACATCTGGTAAGTATACACACATGTACACACACCCTTAATGTACATACACACTTAATCCGGTTTATCTGTCTTTCAGATGACTGAAACCCTTCCTATTTCTTTCTCAAAAATGTATTAAATTTTAAGATCATTTAAGAAGCATTTTCACTAGTGGCACTTTGTATTTTTGACCCCATTGATATCTGTATGTTCCAATGTGATTGTGTTTGCTATTGCAGGGCTGGATATATCATAATAAAATTTGAAATGAATGTGTGTGGGACAATGTGCTTTTGAAGCCACATACGTCTCTGGAGGGTGGTGGTTCCCAAAAATAACCTCTTCCTGTCTGTGGTTAGTCTACTGGTGTAAACACTGTCGCCCATCCACAAACAGGATGTAGATTTACTGATACAGGATACAGAATGTCTGATTTGAGTTTATAGCGTTTGCTTGTTCTAAAATTCTCTTGTTCATAAAGAAATATGGTAGCATAACAAAGATCTGAGCTCATAATAATGCTGCTCAGTCATCACAAACCAACTTCTGGGTTTTTCCGTGGGGATTTTACTAGCAATTAGTGCTCTGTAAGCCACTTTTGATGAGAATATCTGCTTCCTTTATTTCAGGGCATTGGCGGATATAGGAAAGGATGGGAAGATGGACAGATTGGAGTTCTCCATTGCAATGAAACTAATTAAACTGCAGCTGCAGGGTCAACCCCTCCCGTCCAGCCTGCCAATCATCATGAAGCAGACGCCTACCCCTGCTATGACACCATCATCACGCTTTGGTATGAGTTAATAGCTGGTTATGTAACGCCATGTGAGGTTTGTTTGCTGTGTTAACAAGTTTATTGAGCCTCATTCATACTACAGGTTGGGACACTCATACTACAGGTTTTGAAGATGATGAAGACATATTAAGACATATAATATTATTTTAATATAAAATCTCAGAAATGTGTAACTGGACGATCTATCTGTCTGTCTGTCTGTCTAATACTATCAAATAAATAAATATTAGATGAAAGAGCTCAGCTTAAAACTTAAGTGAAAATTAGAAATGTTGTCTTGGCAACTAATTGAATAATGTTAAGTTGAAGTACAACAATGATTAAAACTTAAATAAAAATAAACTAAAGCAATATAGAAGTACAAAAAATTAAACAAAAGTTAATTAAAATATGAATAAATATTAAAATCGTATATAAATAATAAGAAAATTGAATTTAAATAGAATATTATTATTTATAAATAAATAAAAACATTTACAAATAAAACACTAAAATCAAAAATCATTTTAAATACTACATATGTGAATGTACAATGTGAAAATTTTATATTTAACATGATATTTAACATTGCATCTACTGATTATTGCATAAAACAGTGTTATTAAATTATTTTAAAATATTTTTTTAAATGATTCTAAACTGAGCGTTAGATGATGGCAAAAGTAAAAGAAATGTAAAAACAGCATAAATGAGCATGGACAGCTTAATATCCAATATATAGTTAATGTGATATCGATACAAATGAATAAAAAAATCAGCTGACAATATGGTACCAGTATATCACATAGAAATGATCTCATATAATCTGGCTTTGATTTGTTTCAGGTATGGGCTCCATGCCAAATCTGTCTGCCATGTCAGTAATGCCCATCCTAACTCCCATCCCCACAGCCCCTGCTATGACCCCTTTGGTTCCTGTGCCCACCCTGATGTCAGGACCATTGCATCAGATGCCCAGCTCTCTCAGTGTGCCAGCTTTACCTAACGGCAATGCAACTCTCCTCACACCAACACCAGGTACTGTAACACCTTCTATCCTAAATTCATGCGCAAACCACCATTTTGCACAGATGAGCATTCAGTATGCATGTACTATTAAATCTATATGCAATGAGACTCAACCATTGATATATTGCATAATCTATAACTCAGTTACAAAGTTTGCATGTGCTTTAAGTAATTCTCTTTCTTCTGTTATCTTTCCAGCATTCCCAGCGTCCAGTGGATTGAGTAAATCTCACTCGCTCTTGGACCTTGTCTCTAGCAGGTGTGAAGCATGCATACTAAGTTCAACGCCCATGTTTGTATTAGAATTGGGTGTAATGTCTATTGCATGCAAGTGTTTGAGTGTTTGTTTCAGTGATAGCTAAAAAAGACTTCTTAGAACTGTGCTCTGAGACACCCTGTTACTCTGGGCTTGTTTTGCCAGCACTAGAAGTTTGTAGTAAATAAGAGTGTGTTTGCTGACAGAGTGCTTGAATAGCACAGCTGTCTCCTTGTATCTTAATAGGATCTTGTTAGGGTTCCTCCGAGAGTCATCCAACCTCCACATGGTGGTACAGAAGCCTGTAATAAACCCACTAATTCCTGCTCAGTGCCTGTTTAAAATGAATTTGGGTCTAGGGCTGTGCAATATATCTAATATACACAATACATTCAGAATGATTATCTTGACGATATAGAAATAAGCAACATCATGTATGTCACAATCATTTTAATGCCCTTTTTATTTAGCCATAAACTTGCCTAAGTTTCTATTTCCATGAAATCTGTCCGTTTCAAAATTTAACTCAACAAGTCACTCGTGTCATCACTCGAGTGAAAATATATGTTGATTAATTAAATATTAAATATTAAATATTGATGTTTATATTCATGCATTGTTACAATGCATATGAATGACAAGAGTAAATGATTAAATATTATTCTCTAGATTAACTAGATTTTTTTTAGTTATTGTATAAAATGAATTGATTATATTAAAAGTAATGAAAATGTACTCACTCTCAGGCAATCCAAGATGTAGTTTGTTTCTTCATCAGAACAGATTTTGATAAATTTAGCATTACATCATTTTTAACTAATGGATCCTCTGCAGTGAATGGGTGCCGTCAGAATGAGAAAGCAAACAGCTGATAAAAACATCACAATAATTCATAAGTTAACCAATACCCACATGACTCAATAAATTACCATCTTGTGAAGTGAAACACTGTGTGTTTGTAAGAAACAAATTCATCGTTATGGGCCTAACTTTATTTACTGGGTCTAGGGCTGAATATTATCAAAAGAGTGAAAACTATATATTTTTGGCTATACTGCTCAGTCTTATTTTGTCTGTGCGTGTCCGCCCATGTGTGCAAATATGTTTGGGTTAGTTTGTAAGGGTATTAGCCAGTCACCAGGATGATATCTCACTCTCTGAACCTCTCATCCTGTTCTGTCTATCATTCCAGCCCATGCCGAAGTGCAGAAGGCTGCTGAATCCTGTTAGTGTTATCGCAGAATATTTAAAAATCAGTGAACTGACAGCAGTGAGTCAGAATACTGCGAATTGCTCATTATTATGAGTTTTAATTATGATTTTAATGGTCCCGGTAGTGGTAATTACTGCACTAACAAGGATTCAGCAAAATATCAATTATTTAAAGTATAATGTCACAGCAGAATCTCACAGCACTAAAGGAAAAGCTGATCTTGCTGCTAGCCTGAGACCAGTTGTCTGTGTTTTATGATGGTCTAGGTTATTGGTTCATGAGAGGATTATATTAGTGTTAATGAGCAACTGCTAAATGGAGCTCATTCGAAAAAATTTGGCATGCAAATGCAATTTCTGGATTCAAGAGTGCTGTACAAGTGAAAACTCTCAGGAATTATCTGAACACATGCAGATTTGGAGAATGAAGAGGATCTATATTTAGCATTAGTTAATGCATTAAAAAAAACATACATTTAGTAATTAGGTGCAACCTAAAACCTTAATCAGTAAGTTTATTTATTGAAAAAAGCATTACATATTAAATTATCACTTTTACAGAAAAGCATACTAATCATTTATTTCTAAATTTCCACAGTTCTAACTCTTCCTCCACCACCTCCCTTGCGAGTAATTCCCCCAAAATGAATGCATCTGATTGGGCGGTGCCTCAGTCGTCCCGTCTGAAATACCGACAGCAGTTCAACAGTCTAGACAAGCTGATGAGTGGATACCTGTCAGGTGAGTGTGTGTTTGTAGGCAATGGTAGTGTTTGCATATGATAGCATCTCTGTATACATGTCATGCATTAACTCTTTTGTGTTTTTTTAAAGGTCCCCAGGTCAGAAATGCCCTCACAGCATCAAACCTCACACAAACACAGCTTGCCACCATATGGTGAGTTCAAGAAACACTGTACTCATCATATGAAACACTCATTAATCTCATGAAGAACATGTTTTAATGACATTATTTGCATACACATCCTCCCCCCTTTGCGTTGTTTAATACATATTTCCATTTTTTCTTTACAAAAAGTCAATGTGTCAAATAGGCAGAAACTTGTTGAAGACCCATGCATTAATCACTCGCACATATTAAACCCTGGATCACACTGTATTGCTCGAAGCGGTGTGTTAAACACCTACTTCCACAGTGTTGCGTCTGCTGTTTAGGTGCCAGTTGGATTATTAGGAACTGATTCATCTATTAAACATTTGAAATGCTTCCAGGTTAATGTGTGTGTCATGTGTGTGCTCGTGCGTGGGTACATTATGTGTATATATCTCTGTCTTCAGGGCTCTTGCTGATGTAGATCGTGATGGGCAGTTGAGAGCAGAAGAGTTTATTCTAGCAATGCACCTGGTTGATATGGCCAAGACTGGGCAGCCCTTACCTCTGACTCTACCTCCTGATCTTGTGCCACCTTCACTCAGGTAAGACACACATAGACCCGCCCATGCTGGAATGAGTAAGATATGGAGGACACTGTGTTTATTCTGTGAGTTTGTGTTTGTTTTCAGACAAGCAAAGTCATGTGACCTGCTGAACGGACCTGTTCCTTCGATTAACACTGAGCTGATTGAGTCAGAACATCCACAGAAAAGCAAGAGTAATGGTATTTGCATATACATATACTATACGTACTAGTGGCCAACAGATTTTTGGCTTCCAATATATTGCATATATACTATATACAGGTGCATCTCAATAAATTAGAATGTCGTGGGATATATTTTAAATGCATTTTAATGATGCTATATGAGCTATATACAGAATTGCTCAATTTAAAAATACATTTATTAATCAAAAGTATGTGTTGCATTTTTAAACCTGTTCTATAAAAACATGCATTTAGTACCTTATTAATGTATTTACCTATTTCATTATGCTCACATTGCAAAACCATTAAAATAATCATTATCTATGTGGAAAGTTATCATCATGATCCTTCAGAAATCATTCTAATATGCTGATTTGGTGCTCAAGAAACATTTCTTATTATTATCAGTGTTGAAAACCGTTGTGCTGCTTAATATTTTCATGGAAACCGTGATATTTTTTAGGATTATATAATGAATGGAAAGTTCAAAAGAACAGCATTTATTAGAATTTTTGTTGTAACATTATGAATATCTTTACTGTCACTTTTGATCGATTTAATGCATCCTTGCTGAATAAATTGTGCAAATACATACTCAGGTCACAAACACACACTGTCCTTATTTCTACACAGTATTGTAAATGATCTTTCTAAATATTGCTGATTCAGCTGAACAGTCTCTTTTGAGTTTGTGTTTAGATTAAATGCCTTAGATGTAACCTTTTTTTTAATATACACTTTTCTGTTCTGTATTATATTATTTCTATTGTGTTGACTTTGATAACACTTACCTCACCTTTCTGTCTGTCTCTGCCAGTGTCATTTGAGGATAAATTCAAGGAGAATTTCCAGAGAGGAAATGCAGAGCTGGAAAAACGACGTCTGGCTCTGCAGGAGGAACAAAAGAGAGAGGAGGAGAGGAGACGAGAGGAGGAGAGGAGACGACAGAAGGAGAGGGAGGAAAGAGAACAAAAGGAGAGAGAAGCCCTGGAGATGGAGCTGAGGAGACAGAGGGAAGAGGAGAGGAGGATAGAGAGGCAGAGAGAGCTGGAGCGACAGAGAGAAGAAGAAAGACTGAAAGAATTAGAGCGACGAGAGGCAAGTGGTGCATGCAAGGGCAGACAAAGGTTGAACGACCACTAGAATATTACAGCAAAGCCTCACGTTTTTTCCACATGCATACATGTTGAATGAATAAATTGTTTATACACTAGGGCTAGGCAAAAAAACTAAATCATGATTAATCTCATGAAGGTTTGTAGTTTATACGTTTTCTTTGTGAACTGAGCCAGTATCTTTTTCCTTTAAATATGTTAAGCAAATATGTTGAGTGTTTTTATACAGTTTTTTCTTTAGTGTACAAAAATATGTACAAAATATAATACTAAAAAAAGTATTAATTTTGTGCATACGTGTGTAGAGTTATATAAAAACTTCTTTAACACTTTATATATATATGTGTTTGTGTGTGTGTGTGTATATATACAGTATACATACATAAACAGCTCTATAAACAGCATAAATTCATTTACAGGTACATATAATGTAATGAAATCAATTGTTAAAATATTAAGTTAGGAATATAGTGGTTAATTAAATAACACATCAAATAAAAAAACAAAAATCTTAAATTATTGATTAGAAATCTAAAAACTTGCGATTGTTAATGAATAATTACTGTAATTTATGTACTCTTTCATGACAAAGTTTAATGCTTCTCTAATGCTGCATTTCATTACACAAGCAAAATGTGTGGGTTGATTGCCTGTCCTGGTGGTCTTTAGAAATCATAAAGAACAGAATGTAACTGTTGTAATATCAAAAGTAGGAAATTAGGTTAATTGCTTTAAAAAATGTAATGGTGTTAGATATTAACAAAATGTAATGGTGTAAGAGATTAATTAACTCATGAGTTAACCCTAATATATACTGTACCAGTGGAGTGGTTCCTCGCCCTAGGTAAAATGATGGGAGCATAATTATGTAGTATATTCATGTCAGAATGAGTGATTAGACCTTACATCTGTTGATTAACCTCTCCTTCTCTTTATCGTTCTCTCAGGAAGCGGAGCGACAGAGGCGAATGGAATGGGAGAAGAGTAAACGAGTGGAGCTTCAGACACAGAGAGAAAAAGAGCAGAGTGACATACAGAGACTTAAAGACAGGAAGAGGAGTCTCGAGATAGAGCTGGAGGCGGTGGTCAGATTGCCATTTCTTCTTTCTGTTTTTTTCTTCTTCCATATACCTGTTCCCCATCCAGCCTCATACACCCTATTCTCTGGGCAATGATGATTATGTTATATTACAAATTAAAAACATTTCAGTCTTTTAATATTCACATAGATAATGCAGAAAACAAAACTACAAAAGAAATTATAACTGTTTTAAACACTTTTGACCTGATTCAGCATGTGCATGAACCTACACACAATCGTGGACATACGTTAGATTTACTCATCAGTAGAGGTCTAAACATTTCATACATTGTTATTAAGGACGTAGCACTATCTGATCACTTCTGTATTGTCTTTGATATATTGATCTCTGCTACCACTGAATCTAAATCTGTCTCTGTCAGAAAGAGATGCATTAACGAAAACACTAGTGTGCTATTTATGGAGGCTATATCTTTAACACCAAGCATTTCTGCAGACTCTGTTGATCTCCTCCTTGATTCCTTTAACTCAAAAGTTAAGAATGTCATTGATGACATTGCTCCTGTGAAAGTCAGCAAGAAGACTGGCAGACAGAAATCAGCTTGGAGAAAATCAACAGCAGTTCAGAGTATGAAAAGACAATGCAGAAAAGCAGAACGGATGTGGCGGAAGACGAAACTTGAAATCCACTATAGCATATATAAAGACAGCCTTCGTGCTTTCAATGTGGAACTAGGCAAAGCTAGACAGTCATTCTTCTCAAACCTTATAAACAGTAACTTAAACAACACTCGCACTCTTTTTGCTACTGTTGAGAGACTAACAAACACCCCAAGTCAGATTGCCAGTTAAATGCTCTCCGACAGCAAATGCAATGAGTTTGCTTCCTTCTTTTCTGAGAAGATCAATAATATCAGGAAGGCGATTAGCACATCCCCAATTATGCAGAGGTCAGACAGGATTCGACCACAATATCAAAAAGAAGATACTATGTCTGCTTTTACAAAGTTTTAAATTCCTTGTTTTATTGTTGTGATTATTTTTTTTAATTATTTTTTTCATTTCTTTTATGTAAAGCACTTTGAATTACCATTGTGTATGAAATGTGCTATATAAATAAACTTGCCTTGCCTTGCCTTTTCATCTACTAGGGTAACAAGCATAAGCAGATCTCTGATAGGCTGCGGGATGCCAAGAGTAAGAGGCAGATCCAGAGGACCGAGATAGACCTGATCAATCAGAAGAGAGATAGTCGTATTACGGATATCAATTTCCTACAGTTGCAGTTTGAGGTAGGTTATGTTTTTGTTGCATGAATAGCATTGCATTCATTTTTAACTTATTTTTCATTCTTTCATTGTTGTACACTACTGTGTAAAAGTGTGATCAGTAAATTGTTTTTCAAGAAATTTATTTTTATTCAGCAAGGATGCATTTAATTGATCAAAAGGACATTTATAATGTTACAAAAAATATTTTTCTATTTATTAGTGAATCCTGAAAAATCATGGTGTCCACCAAAAAATATTAAGCAGCAGAACTGTTTTCAGCATTGATAATAATAAGAAATGTTTCTTGAGCAGAAAATCAGCATATTAGAATGATTTCTGAAGGATCGTGTGATACTGAAGACTGGAGTAGTGACTTCTGAAAATTCAGCACTGCATCACAGAAATAAATTACATTTTAAAATATATTCAAATAGAAAACATTTTTCGTCTGTTTTTACTGTATTTTTAAACAAATACTGTAAATGCCACCTTGGTGAGCATAAGAGACTTCTTTCAAACACATTAAAAAAATCTTTAAAATAAATAAATTAAATAATAGTCTATATGAATGTGTTATTGCAGGAAATTCAGAGGCAGCTGAGTCGTCTTGGTCCTGAGAAGCAGCGACTGACAGAGAGACTTCTACATATTACCCAAAACAACTCAAGTGAGCACTCACATAGACCTGAAGCAATCAGTGAATAGATGGGTGGATGACTAATTTCAACTGTGTCCATTTCATCCCTCTTGAATTCAAGGCCTGGGAACATTGACGTTTTTATGTCCTTCTTTCTCTCATTCTTTTTCCCCTTTCAGGTCCTTTGATAAATGATGTGAAACAGAGTTTGTGCGAGAAAGATCTGAGCTGTCGGAAGCTGAAGGAGCAGCTGGATGTTTTGGAGAGAGAGACCACTGCAAAACTCTCACAAATGGAGCAGTACAACAGAGAAATCAAGGTCAGCGGCTTCTCTTACATTCCCAGTGTAAACCTCAACAACATTTAAAGTGCCGTGTTTTGATTAAAGCTAATGTAGGCTTTGGGTGGGGGTGTGCTCTCTTCAAAATTATTTTAAACCTCAATGTCCCTGTGAGGGACTCACTAGTTCGTTGTTCTCTATGTTCCTGTGATTAAAACCTACAGCTCAACTCCCAGCCCTGAAGGCAGAGGATTGAGCACTTCATTACACACTAACGTTCACACAGTTCACACTACTAAAGAAAACACAACACACATCACTAACACACTTACTGCACCGGCTGGTCGGATCGGAAACCCGAGCATTATACATGTGGTAATCAGCTATTGTTCAGTATACGTCTAATGTTTTCTGCTCCAAGCCTTTCTTTTTTTCTTTCTTTTTGCCCACTTTATCGTTTTCTTTCCTCCCACTGTATCTCTCCTATTTCTTCTCTTCCTCTTTTCCCCCGGCTGACTTTATAGTTTGTAGAAATGGATGACTGTGTGCTTCAAGGACTTCTCTCTTTGCTGGGCTGCCTAACCAATCTCTTCCTTCTAATAAAGGTTGACCTGTCTTTATCTTTCCTTAACTCACACTCATCTCAAAACTGCCTGCCTTTCATTCATTTCACCTTTCACCCTAGTTATTCACCATGAATGAAGTCTCACTTTGCTCATAGTATACTGGAATGAGCTTCAATGTCTGACCTCATGACCTTATAACATCTTTATAACATCTGTTCCATTTCATCACCTCATAATGGTGTCATTAATATATATATATATATATATATTCAGCTTTGCCACCACAGAAATAAATTTAATTTTTTAATGTATTAAAATACAAAACATTTATTTTAAATTGTAACAATATTTCACAATATTGCTCTTTTTAATGCATTTTTTAAATAAATGTTTATCATATATTTATATATTATATTTATGAAATAACCTTAATGGAACAGATAATTTATAGGAGCTCAGTATCACTCAATATTGGTAATTTATGTTCATTTTAGCAGTCCGTAAAGCTGGCATAAAGCAATACCACATACTGTGTATTTGAACCTACACCATATTATTCTAAGTTTTGTTATAAACATGATGTATGTGTTAAAGAATTGTGTGGGTAACATTGTAGGACTTGAGACAGAGGCAGAGCCAGCAGCAGGACGTCCTAGAGCAGCTCAGGAGGGTGAGATCTGAGAAACTCAAAGAGCTACAGAGACACAGGAAAGAGGAGGAGGAGAGGAAGAGGAAGAAAGAGGAGGAGGCTGCCAGGTAAAATTTGATTTCACACACACAGACATGCATATTTATCAAGCCATCTACAGAGTTCACACATAAATGAACAACATGGACATATTAAGGTGTTATATAATTGAGATATATAGGCTTTTAAAAAATCATGTAAATTTCTGTAAATATATTATAGTTTTGTAGAATATATTATAGTTTGTTTTTATAGTTGAAAAAAAACCTTTAGTTCATTTATCACCCATGTGTCTCTGTACAGTCTTCTTCTGTATCAGATTTCTATTCTTGTGATATTTTTCATCAAATATTCCCCCTAAAAAGGCTAGATTAAACACCCACTCTTTTACCCACTCAATATTTTGCTCATGTGTACATTAGACAGGCGAAGCTGGAACAGGAGCGTCTAGAGCAGGAGGAAGCAGAGCGTCAGAGGATGCTTGCCCAGGAGCGAGAAGCCAAACTCAGGGAAGAACAGCAGCGTCAGGCCCAAGCCAGACTTCAGGAAGCCCAGGAGCAGGCGCGAGAGAAAGAGGAGAAGAAGAGGGCAGAGGAGAGAGAGAGGGAGGAGAAGGAGAAGGAGAGAGAAGAGAGAGAAAGGAATGAACTGGCTCTACATACTCAGCCCTCCATGACATACAATAGCACAGAGAACAAAAGTGAGTGTGTCTGTGTGTGTGTGTGTGTGTGTGTGTGTGTGTGTGTGTGTGTGTGAGTGGGTGAGGTGCTTTGCCGAAGCTTGAAAACGGCTTGTATTCATCCACTTGGCCATGAATATGATGTTTTCATTATATTAATTGTAAAGGGTGTCATTACTCTCACGGCTTCATGATTCATTTTAATTACCTGCCATTAATTATCCGAGTTAATATAACAGACTCCACAGGAATGTGAGTGTTTTGAGAGAAGGAAGGTAATAGGCTGCTAAACATAGAGTTTCATACAATATATGTTTATGTATATTTTAATTTCACATAATACTCTGAACTCACACTGTGTTCTGTGTCTTAAAGGAATAGTTCACCCCAAAAAGAAAATTTTGTCATCATTTACTCACGTTCATGTCTTTCCAGACCGGTATGAGTTTCTTTCTTACGTTGAACACAAAAGAAGATATTCTGAAGAATGCTGGTAATCAAACAGTTGATGGTCCTCATTGACTTCCATTGAATTCTTTTCCCTACTATGGAAGTCAATGGAGGCAAACAACTGTTTGGTTCTTCAAAATATCTTCTTTTCTGTTCAACATGAGAAAGAAACTTATACAGGTTTGGAACGACATGAGGGTGAGTAAATTATGACAAAATGTTCATTTTGGGGTGAACTATTCCTTTAATACTTATTTACACAATGTCTTATTATGTTTATTATAATGTTACTTCGGGGATAATTCACCCTAAATAGAAAATCCTGTCATCATTTTCTCACCCTGTTGACTTACTTTCTTCCGTGAAACACAAGATAAAAACATGTGAAGTACTGGTCACTTTTTTCCATAAAACTTGTGCGCTAGTCTTCTGAGTTCAGTTTGAGAAACAGACTCAAATTTAAGCAATTAAATGCAATCATATTTATTATTTATTGATTTAATATGGGCTTCTCAGTGAGCTTGAAAACAGGCTCAAAACAAATCAGTCCGATATGTGAAAGAATCATACAGACCAGTTTGTAAACTGGTTCAGTAGATTCATTAAAGGGGTCATATGATGCTGCTAAAAAGAACATTATTTTGTGTATTTGGTGTAATGAAATGTGTTTATGCGGTTTAAAGTTAAAAAAACACATTATTTTCCACATACTGTACATTATTGTTGGCTAACTCTTAACTTTTATAAAGAATATCTCTTTGGATTTGAGACTTTAGTCTTTGCAACTTTACAGATCTTCTTTATGCACCAAGAGCTTGTAACACTCTAAAGAGAAAGGAAAAAATGAAATCGCATCATATGACCCCTTTAAATAAATCAACTGTAACTCACAATGGAATATTGCAGTGTCCATTTAGATGAATTTATCAAGCAATTCATTTGAAAAATTTTATTTAATCGAATGTTTCAGTGCAGAGAGCAGTACAATTATTGAGATACATATAAAATGATGTTTGCTGATGTGGGTTTTCTGTTATGAAGATGTTTTTATATGTTGAAATATGCATTTGTAAATGTGCCAAATGGTTGTGAGATGGTTGTGATATTGTTCTAAGGTGATTGTGTTTGTTTTTATCAGGCTTGCAGCCAGTGGTGACTACTGAAGCTACATGTGCTGCCCTCACCACCTACAGAGCTCTCTATCCCTTCACAGCACGCAACTCTGACGAGCTCACACTGGAGGCAGACTGTCTGATCGAGGTTCTGTACATATGTCAACACATTCACTCACGCAGTTGTCATTTTACTCATTCAAGTACACATATAATTTGGCTTCCTGTGGATCCACAGGTAGATGAATCAACAGTTAGAGAGACCGGCTGGCTGTATGGGAGTTACCTTGGTAACAGCGGCTGGTTTCCAGAGAGTTATGCTGAGAGATGCAGTAAAGACACTCAGACTGAACGGACTGCAGCCGATTCACAATCCACAGCGCCCTCTACCAACTACCATGGGTATGGCACTAAAACTACTCTGTTATCACTCTAGTAAATGCTGGGTTAAAGACAACCCAAGTTGGCTTAAATATGGACAAACCCAGCGGTTGGGTAGTTTTATGTACCTTAACTGATGCTTAAAAATTACTATATGACTGTCTTAAAATGAACCCAAAATTGGGTTGGAAATTAAAAATCAGACATGTAATTACTAGAGGCATCAGTAGCTAATAAACAAAAGGTGAACATATATTAATAAGCAATTTAATAAAGGTTTATTATGTCATTATTATTTAATAAACTTATTAATAAATGCTCATTATTAAACATATTAATAAATGTTAATTTCCAACCTATTTTGGGTTCATTTTAAGAAAGAAATATAGTCATTTTTAAACAATAGTTGAGTTAAATAAAACTACCCAGCAGGGTGATCAAACATTTAACAAAAACACTGGGCGTGTCCATGTTTAACCCAACTTGGGCTGTTTTTAATGCAGCATTTTTTAGGGTTCTAACTAACTGTGCAATTTAGCGTAACCACTCAATTTTTTTTTCAACCTGTATGTGATATAAATGTCTTGATTTTTAAAAGAGTGTTTTTTTTTAATCAGAGAAAACATCCTTTTCAATCTTTCATCTATTGTAGCCCAGTAGATTCAAATTTATTAATATTATTATTGAAGTTACACACAAAAACAAGTTAGGAAAGGAAAATAATCGACAATTTTACAAATATTTTTTAGTTATATGCCCAAATATAACAATAAACTGCTAAATATTTTTACTAACACCATTTCACTATTCCCTAGAAAATGTCATATAGAGACTTCAATGAAAAGTAATGATGCAAATTAATCATACAATCAGATGTTTGAAGTGATTCACTGAAACAGTTTGAAGTGATTCACGGAAATTAATCAAATTTACAACAGACAAAGAAGGATTGTAAAACTAGTCTAGTCAAACTTAATGGCCAAATAAAAAGATATTACAGACACACACACACATAAAAAAAAATATATAACAACAATATTCAACACAAATATATTGTGAATATTTGATTTATTGCCCAGCCCTATTACTAACATACATATTGTTTTGATGAGCTTCACATTTGTTGCCAAAAAAGCGGTGTCAGTATGTGTCAGACATTCCGAAAAAGCCAGATGCAGTCGTTTAGACTGTCACTGCTCTTCTATTCTTAATCAGTGAATGTGAAAGACCTTCGTCAGAGATTCTGCAACATTCGGTAGGTGTGACATCCTTGACTGCTATGGAGCTGGTGGGACATGATCTTAACAGACTAACTTATATTTAAAGTTGGTTTAGGGTTGTGTTATTAATTTTAATATTTTTTTAATACTTTAAAAAATGTAATGGATTTATTTTAGATGAATGAAAAATCCTTTAAAATCCTTTTTCCCCCCTCAGAATTCCTCGGGTGGACATAGAAGGACCAACACCAACACACACACCAGTGTCTTCAAACACACAGCACTCACAGGTTGGCATATGTGAATATACACAGACACCATATATCTTACATACAGCATCGTTTTTTTGATCACTGGAAGGAATATGATAATTGGCAGGAATATGATCATCATGATACTCTGATCATTGTCCCTGCACATCATTTTTTCTGTGTTTTTGTGCAATAGGCTGTAGCTCTGTGTGAATGGAGCGCTAAGACTGACAGTCACCTGGGCTTCTCTAAAGATGACGTCATCAGAGTTCTGGAGAAGCAGGAGAACTGGTGCTACGGAGAGCTCAGAGAGAGCCGGGGCTGGTTCCCTTGCTCATATGTCTCCATGGTTATCACCAATAACACACAGACCGAGTAAGAAATGGGATACCTCTCATTTAACCTCATAATCCTGCTTAATTAAATAATTATTAAGGTGTAATTAAAGACAGCTGATTTTTTTTATTTAAAATGTTATATTTTGTTAAACAGAATTTAACATATTTTAGATGATTATAACATAGGTCATACTTTTATTGTTCCTGACAGCTTAAAGTATTAGTACCACATAAAGGTGAAAACTATTTAAAGATTATTTTAAAATGTGCTCTTATTTGAGATACAGCAGGGAATCCAGGAATGATTGTAAAATGTATTAAACTATGTATTGAATTCAGTATTTTTAAAGTCTTTATCTAAATATACATTTGTTTTTTTTTTAACAAAAAAAAGCTAGATTTGCGGTACTCTTCATGCAAGGTTTGAATGAAACTTCTCCTGCTCAGATTTTTTAATGTTATCAATCATTTTAGAATAAATTATGTATTTAATTAGTAGCCAATAAATATATGCTTGTAATAAACCTAAAGCTTTCGTGTTGTTTGTGTCTCTTCTAGGCCGTTATATTCTACTGTGGACGAGATAGACTTTTCAGATTCTGGTCCGTTTGAGGGTGAGGTGTCTGTTTATGTTTTTATACAACCATCTCTAGTTATTCAGACGAGATATTATGAGGAGATATTTTGATTAAATTGAATCGGCATTTTAGAGGTTTTTGTCATGGTTCTATTTGTTTTGATCTTATTAGAGTATGTGGCTCTGTACACATATGAGAGTCCAGAGTCAGGTGACCTGACGTTCTGTGCTGAGGATGTTGTCCTGGTAACAGAGAGGGAAGGAGAATGGTGGAGAGGGTGCATCGGTGACCAGTCTGGCCTCTTCCCTTCCAACTACGTTAAACCCAAAGAGCCTGATGTATGCATATTCAGATAATTGTATATTATTATGCATTTATAGTTGCCTTATGAATATATGAAGTAACATTCTTTTGCAGAGAAATGCTTTAAAATAATTTGCTTTCAGAGACATTTAAGTTGGTATGTATTTTGATAATGATTGCTCACTGTGTTATCATTTTAGACTGCCAATCCTGGAGTTCCCGGTAAAAAGCCAGGTGAGAATTGAGAGCATAGTACCATCACACAGAAGCAAAAATGAGGTCTGGTTGTTTCACATTTGAGATATTATTCATTTGCCATCTTCATTGGTCTTCAGAGATTGCTCAGGTGACTACGGCCAATGCTGCCAAAACACCAGAACAACTGAATCTGACACCTGGTCAGCTTATTGTGGTGCTGCATAAGAACTCTAACAGCTGGTGGCTGGGTGAACTACAGGTTAGCACTGTATATCACATAACCAGACTTAACCTAACCACAGGACAGCATTTGTTTATAGTGCAATATAGTGCATTTAAATACATATTAATGTTTAGATAGATAGATATATATTAGGTGACAGTTTCATAGCTTAGTATAAAAACAATAGAACTCAATGGAAAATGACCAGTTTTTTAAAAACTAACAAATGTGTGTGTTTGTAGGCACGGGGTAAAAAGCGTAAAAAGGGCTGGTTCCACTCCTCTAATGTCAGATTACTGGAGGCCAACAGCGGAAAAATAACTCCAGCATCTCAGCCATGTAAGATACACACACACTCTTTCATTCATGCTCTTTTGTATGTGGTTGTATGTATGTGTTGTTTTCCCTCCTCTGGCCCATTCTGCTCCATCCATCCATTCTCTCTGTCTTTTCTACTCTTCCCCCTGTAGTGTGTCAGGTTATTGCAATGTATGACTACAAAGCAGCCAATAAGGATGAGATGAGCTTCCAAAAAGGTCAGCTGATCACCGTGCTCAACAAGGACAACCCTGACTGGTGGAAAGGAGAGGTCGCTGGGGTCATAGGGCTGTTTCCAACTAATTATGTGAAGATGACCACAGAATGTGATCCCAGCCAGCAATGTGAGTACTATTGAGTTACCAAATAAGTTCCTGTTTCCACATCAGAGTTCAGAGTTGTTTGTTTATAAGGCAAGGGTGGGGAAAATATAAGCTGAAATGGATTAAATTAATTGTGTTGGAAATAACCTTTTAAAAAGAGTAAATAAAAAGATGTTTTACTTTTTTACTTTTGATGACTGACAGAAAACTTTTTGGCCATAGCCTTTCTTTCTTTCTTTCTTTCTTTCTTTCTTTTCAACAACTTCGAATCTAATATATTCTCCATCATTCTCTTCATTATTCATTCTCTCCTCTGCCCTTATCTACTCTCTTCCACCCTTTTTCCACGTCATTCGCCTCATCTGTGTTTTATTGTAGGATGATAGCTCTGGCCCCTCCTTCCTCTTCCTCCTCTCTTTTCTGGACCAATCAGAACACTGCTCTGGTCCAGGAAGCAGCCTCAAGACTCAAGACTGACTAGATTTGTTTGGATTTAACCCCTCCTCTTCTACTATTTCTGTTTAGACTTTGCTTAAATCACAAATAAACTCATGAGTTTACCTCCATTGGCTTTAGGACATATTTTTCTTACTGTTTAATCGGGAAAAGATATCACTTGCTTCTTTTCTCTGTTTATTTTAGGAAGTGACATGAATTAAAGGGGCCATATCATGAGTAACTAGTAAAAGTGAACTTTCCTTGATCATTTTTTAAACTAAAGTTATCACGGTACATAATTTGTAAATTTCAACTCTAAACATCCTGTCCAGTCCCAAAACAACAACAACAACAAAATGTTACTAAGCTACGAAAATGGCTCATTATGAAGTCCCTAATTTCTGTTGTAATTATAATCTAAAAAAATTTACTAATCATTGACTATTCAGTAAATTGACTAAATGTATCTATTCAGTGTTCAGTAACTTGATCTGCCCAGTCCTGGTGAGTAAACTCAGAACAACTAACAATTAAAGTAAATTATGATTTTGATTTTTTTGGTTTAAGTTTTACAAAGGTCCTTGATCATTTCTGCATTAGGTCTTTTTTTAAAAAAATTGAACCCCAACAGCAAATATGCATCCCAATGTGCCAGAGAACTATTTATTGCATCAATAGCTAAAGATCATATTTGGTAACAACTAAAACAGCTTGTTTAATTTTAACATGAAAAACATGGCTAAAAACACAAAATTTGGGCACAAGAACCTTAACTAACATTATAAATGGACCACAGGGTAAAAAATAAACAATAAAACATAGTGTATATGACGTGGCCCCTTTAAAGTGAACTACCCTTTAAGTCAGCACTGTTCATCAGCACAATCATATTTGTATGTCACAGGATTGTTAGTCTGCCTCTGCGTGCTTAAATGTAGTCAAAGGAACTGATGACCAGCAACACGTGTTGCCCTCATACTTGACCAGCTATGCAGCCAGCTAACAATCGCGACCTTAGAGATATTAGAGAGTTCGCTCTGAATGTCATAACCTTTGCTCTGGATACATTTTTGTATGGAAAGTATTCACAATTATATGAAGCATAATTTCACAAATAAAGTTTTTAATTGTGAGATGCTGTTGTGCTGTGGTCGCTGATGAGTGCATGTGCATGTGTGGCTTGTCCTGCATGTGTGTATGTGTGTGTGTGTGTGTGTGTGTGTTTAGGGTGTGCTGATCTGCTCAGTTTAGACTCTATGTGCACTGAGGAGAGGAAGAGGCAAGGCTACATCCATGAGCTCATTCAGACAGAAGAGTCCTATCTGGAGGACCTGGAACTGGCACTAGAGGTGAACCAACAGCTGCATCAACAATATTTATTATATATTCGCTTTTGGAAAGTAGTGCTATTTGTTTGGACTCTAAGTTACAAAAATATGTTCATTTGTTTCCTGTGTTAATGAATATTCAGGTGTTCTATAAGCCAATGGCAGAGTCAGGGCGGCTGACGGAGGCTGAGATGAGTATGATCTTTGTGAACTGGCGGGAACTGATCATGTGCAGCACCAAACTCCTAAAGTGAGTCAACACTGACGGCTAGAGTCCCTCTGGTGAATTGCAAGTGGCACCTGGTGAATGTTCACTGTCTGGTTTGAATTTTTTAGTCCAATATTAGTTCATATTCCAGTTCTATTTGATGCTAAAACCATTTTTGTTACACTTTTAGGACTATCAACTAGCAACCAATGGATGCAAATAAAAAAATGAAAAAAGTCAATTCAAGATTTATTTATTTATTTACATTTTCTCCTAATGAAAACAAAGTCTCACTAAGTTCATAGATTTTGAAAATTTTTGTTGCTTATATTATTACATTAAAAATAGCTACAAGTAAAAATGATTTTTATTTAAAAACTACTAATAAAAAAATATTACATTAATAACTACAAAACAGTAAAAAGATTACATAAAAAATAATTACAATACAGTAAAAATTATTACATTAAAAATAACTACAATAATACAGTAAAAACACATTTAGTGTATCATTTTTATTAGTCGCTACAAGTGGAGTGGCTAAAAGTGTCTTTCTAATAGGTCATATCATATATCAAGTACATTTTGATTCCTAGACAAACAAAAGCAAATGTATTCAGTGCTTGTGTGTTTTTCAGAGCTCTGCGTGTCCGTAAGAAGATGGCTGGAGAGCGGATGCCGGTGCAGGTGGTGGGTGATATTCTGTCCTCAGAGCTCTCTCACATGCAGGCCTACATTCGCTTCTGCAGCTGCCAGCTCAATGCTGCGGCCCTGCTGCAGCAGAAAACAGACAAATCACCTGACTTCAAACTCTTCCTGAAGGTAAATGGACTGCAGTACTTTCTAGTAACAGAAAACAGCACACGTTTTTACATTCTACTGCTTTCAGACAGGTATAGCGTTAACCCTAGACTGTATTAAACAGTGAATAGTATAACAGTGCATAGTAAACTTTTTTTTACAATAAATAATTTTGGTCTAGTGTTGTTTTGCTGCTTGATCGGCGTACTGAAGAAAAAACAGTTGTACATTTTTCACAGTAGTCCACAAGATGGTGCTGTTGATTTCTACTCTCTCGTGGAATACCGTGGATGAATTCACTGTTGATAGCGATAAGACATTATTTAGACTCTTTTCCTTCTCTTCATTGTGTCTTTATCTTCTTCATAGAAAATTGCCAGTAATTACCGCTGTAAAGGAATGCCACTGTCCAGCTTCCTTCTGAAACCCATGCAGAGAATCACACGCTACCCACTGCTGATCAAGAACGTACGAGAAGCGGCTCCTACAGACATCAACTTTGGAAAATTTAACAATAGAATGATTTGAGAAATAGCAGCTATTATAGAAAGTCAGAGGAAATAGGAAGTAAATAAAAAAATAAGATTATGAAAAAAATTGGCTATATGAGCACATTTCTTAAAGATAATATATATATATATATATATATACACTGGTAACTTTTTTTAAAAGAAATTAATAGTTGAAATCAGCAAAGACATTAAACTTATCAAAGGCGACAGTTAAGACAATTTTTTTTCCAAATAAATGCTCTTTTAAACTTTCTATTCTTCAATTAATTCTGAAAAGACCTATACACAATAAATACTGTAAAATGTTTCCAAAAATAATAGTGTACTTTATATGGAATAACAAAATCAACATGTATCAACATTAATACAGTAATATTGCATTATTATTGTTATTATTAGTATTAACATAAGTGGTAGGATGAAAAATGAAATAAATATTAAAACGTTTTTTTAAATGTAAAAAATGTATTTTATTTTTACATTTCTTTAATTCAGCAATATACATGATGTTTATTTAGGCAAATCATTTGCTTGTTGTTTTTGAAATCTGATGGTATAGATTCTGGAGAATACCCCTTCAACTCACGCAGATCACGCAAACCTGCAGGCGGCACTGGAGCAGGCTGAGGAGTTGTGCTCACAGGTGAACGAGGGCGTGAGAGAGAAGGAAAACTCTGACCGGCTGGAATGGATCCAGAACCATGTGCTGTGTGATGGAGTCATTGAGGTGAGATCACTGCAGGAGAGCTGCTGTTGACCTTTCTGTGCTACATAATGACCTCTAAGTATAAAACAACAGCTTTTATTATGTGTTATGGTATCTATGAAAATGTTTTGTGTAATATTCTCTTTTTAGCACCTCGTTTTTAACTCTCTGACGAACTGCCTGGGCCCTCGAAAACTGCTGCACAGCGGCAAACTACATAAGACCAAGAGCAGCAAGGAGCTTTGGGCCTTCCTGTTTAACGACTTCCTGCTCCTCACCTACACCTCCAAACAGTTCTCATCTGGGCCTGACAAGCTCTTCAATCCCAACTCAAATGCACAGTACAAGATGTATAAAACGGTAAAGCAACATGACTGGTGTCCATCTGGAGCTTGTTCTGTTAAACTCTCTGTAAAATGTCCCTATCTGACACTCTGTCTCTCTTATTCTAGCCAGTGTTTCTGAATGAGGTCTTGGTAAAAATGCCCTCTGACCCTTCCAGTGATGATCCGGTTTTTCACATCTCACACATTGATCGTGTTTACACTCTTAAGGCTGACACCATTAATGAGAGGTACACCTACTATACTAACATTCAAGCTAAAATGCTCAGATAAAGGCCTAAAGCTGCAATCATACACGCACATGATCCACTGAACTTAAAGTAAAATAAAGGCTATAAATCATTCATTTTAGAGTATAAAGCAAAAATATTCATTTATTACAGTGAGTATCTGTTGTACAACAGTATTAATAATTTTCTTGTTAAATTAGGACTACATGGGTACAGAAGATCAAGGCAGCATCTGACCACTTCATAGAGACTGAGAAGCTGAAAAGAGAGAAAGCATACCAAGGTTGGGATTTATTGATGACTATTAAGAGTCAAAGTCAATGTGATTGAATGTAGCTTTATTGATAAAAGCCTGTGTATGGTGTTTAGCTCGCTCGCAGAAGAACAGTGGAATCGGGCGACTGTTAGTAACGGTCCTGGAGGCGACAGAGTTGAAGCCCTGCAAACCAAACGGTTAGAAAAACTACACACAAACAATGTGGGCTCTATTCACACAAACACAGAGTCCCTTTATTAATCATTGGCCTCAGGGGTTATTATAGTTTTAATTTGTAAGTTTTTAAAAAAAACTAATATAAGTTTGTATTTTTCATTGTTTAATTATTATTTTTTTGTGTTTTCTAGTTTCAGTTTTTGTAGTTTTAGTTTTGTCATTTTAACAGGCATTATTTTCAAAGGTTTAAAAATGGTGCTACATTTCACAGCACAATCTTATTATCTAGTGGCGTTTTCATTTTTAATGCAGATTAGTTGTAAAGGTTTCAAGTTTTAGAATATACCATGTATTAAAAAAATGTAAATATCTATAGTATGTTTTATTTTAATAAGTTTTGAAGTCAAATGTATTGCAGTTTGTGACAACCGAATGAGATTTACATCAAACTGAGTATTTTCATTATTTTAAGCATAGACCTCACTAAACCTTAATATTTCTCAGAAATAAGACATGTAAATGTATTTTATATTTACATTTAGTCATTTAGCAGAAGCTTTTATCCAATGCAAATTAAGATGGAAGAGATGTGTTTTTAGCCAATTCTTGAAGATGGCTAAGGACTCAGCTGCTCAGATTGAGTTGGGCAGGTCATTCCACCAGTAGGGAACATTTAATGTAAAAGTCAGAGAAAGTGATTTTGTGCCTCTTTGGGATGGCATAACAAAGCGACGTTCACTTGCAGAACGCAAGCTTCTAGTGGGCACATAAGTCTGAAGTAATGAATTTAGGTAAATGGGTGCAGAGTCAGTGGTGGTTTTGTAGGCAAACATCAATGCCTTGAATTTTATGCGAGCAGCTATTGGTAGCCAGTGCAAATTGATAAACAGAGGTGTGACGTGCATTCTTTTTGGCTCATTAAAAATTAATCTTGCTGCTCTGGATTAATTGTAAAGGTTTGATAGAACTGGCTGGAAGACCTGCCAAGAGAGCATTGCAATAGTCCAGCCTGGACAGAACAAGAGCTTGAACAAGGAGTTGTGAAGCATGTTCCGAAAGAAAGGGCCTGCTTCTTGATGTTGCATTAAGCAAATCTTCAGGACCAGGCAGTTTTAGCAATGTGGTCTGAGAAAGTCAGCTTATCATCAATCACAACTCCAAGGTTTCTAGCTGTTTTTGAAGGAGTTATGGTTGATGTGCCTAACTGGATGGTGAAACTGTGATGAAACTATGGGTTTGCTGGAACCACAAGCAGTTCTGTCTTGGTAAGGTTGAGTTGAAGGTGATGGTCCTTCATCCAACAAGAAATGTCTGTCAGACAAGCTGAGATGCGAGCAGCTATCGTTGGATTATCAGGATGGAATGAGAGAGGTAGAGTTGAGTGTCATCAGCATAGCAGTGATATGAAAAGCCATGTTTCTGAATGACAGAACCTAGTGATGCCATGTTGACAGAGAAGAGAAGTGGTCTAAGACCTGAGCCCTGAGGCACCCCAGTAGTTAGATGTTGCGACTTGGACACCTCACCTCTCCAAGATACCTTGAAGGATCTATCTGAGAGGTAAGACTGAAACCACTGGAGTGCGGTTCCTGAGATGCCCTTTGCCAACAGGGTTGACAGGAGGATCTGGTGGTTAACCGTGTCAAAAGCAGTGGACAGATCCAGCAAGATAAGTATTGAAGATTTGGAATCCGCTCTTGCCTGTCTTAGGGCTTCAACAACTGAGAGCAAGGCAGTCTCGGTTGAATGTGCACTTCTGAAACCAGACTGGTTGCTGTCGAGGGGGTTGTTCTGTGCGAGAAAGGCTGAGACTTGGTTGAACACAGCTCATTCAAGTGTTTAAATATAATATTAAAAAATATTTATAAAAAATATATACACATTTTCTTTCGTTTTATTTTCTTTAATCCTGCAATGTATTTCCTATTTTTAAATTTTGCTTAAATTATTATCTTTAAATTTATATACTGTGTATCAAAAAATAAAGTATTTTAGTTTTTTTCCCCGTTTGTTCCAGTTTAATAAGAATTATATCAAAATTATTACTTCCATTTTTATTAAGCAACTTCACTAAATTTCTCTAAAAATAAGACGTAATATCTTAGATTTATAAATTTTGGCATATACATTTCATCCAAAGTGACTTAAATTGCATTAAAGGTATACATGTCCTCCATTCTTTGGTAATCAAATACTAAGTAGGAAATGATGTGTGTTTTTAGGGAAGAGTAACCCATACTGTGAGCTAACCATGGGCGCTCAGTGCTACACGTCCCGCCATCAGCCCGACACGCTCAACCCCAAATGGAACTTCAACTGCCACTTCTTCATCAAAGACCTGTATCAGGACGTCTTCTGCCTCACCATCTTTGAGAGGGACCAGTTCTCTCCCGATGGTGGGCTTCTATGTGGCACCACACACACAAAATATACATACACAAAAACATATGTATTTTTCAACAAATTGTGCTTTCAATACAGATTTTCTAGGTCGTACTGAAGTTCCTGTAGCAACAATAAAGAAGGATCAAGATGGTAAAGGTCCACTGGCAAGGCGTCTGCTGCTTCATGAAGTTCCAACTGGAGAGGTCAAAGTGCGGCTTGACCTGCAGCTCTATGATCAAACACCTCACCCGTGAACTCCACATCTGTTTCATTAGCACTACAACATTTAATAGATCACTTAATAAAAGTTTATTCATTAGTGTTCATTTTTAAAAGTATAGGAATGCCTCTGTACACTTTTGATATGAAAAAGGTGAACCACTTAGCATAAGTTTACATGCAGTGAAATAGAAGCTGGTAGTCTCATATCTACTCTCACACATGCTTGATGTTGTGTAATGGGGAACATTGGGTAATAACATGATGATTTTTTTGGGACAGGAACTGGTTTGTACTTTGAAATTTGTACATTTTTAAAGTGCATTAGTAATCTGAACATATTCTACTTTTCGGCTGTTTCCATCAAACAAAATTCGTTTGATTTGGTTTTCTAATCTGTTAAATGTGCCTTACTTTTCCTTTCATTCTTTAAAAGCCAGAGATTGCTAAAATAGTTGAGACAGCTCTGAAATACACTGCTCAGCATTATCAGTCACCGGCAGCCTTTAATGGATTTTATTTTACTGTACTGCCTTAATCCGAACACATTATGTACTGTAGCTTCCTAAGTATAAATAGACTCAAATTATGTCACTGAAATTGCTGAAATTCAGTCATTTATAGATTCCACTAAGCCAATCATACATGTGCTTCCCCAACCTGTTTCCGGAGCCCTTCAGCACGTTTAATTGTTTTATTATTAAATACTGAAACACAGTTTTAAAAACACTGTAATATATTTAATTATATAAAGACCAAATTATATATAATGTTATCCGAAATTGTGTGACGCAACACAAATTATGATTTCCATTCCTAATTGTACAAATTTAGGGAAGATTTATAAATTCTTTAAGAATGTATAATATGGGTCTTATGGTTTTCCTTTGATGATTTTAATAACAGCATTTGGCTTTATGAACAGACTGGATCTGGATGTTGTACATTTGAGTTGTTGATGATGAATGTCGAAAGTTTGTGTTATTTGTTCTTTGTTTTGTTATTTGTTTAATGCATAATTGTATAAACATCTATAGGAATAGATTATTGTATGGGTTTGGGCACAATTTATATATACACCAAAGACAAAAATAAAAACGGAGAATGTTAACAATGCTTATCATAAAATAACTGTTTTCTACTTTTTGCTGGATCTGGATGTTGTACATTTGAGTTGTTGATGATGAATGTCGAAAGTTTGTGTTATTTGTTCTTTGTTTTGTTATTTGTTTAATGCATAATTGTATAAACATCTATAGGAATAGATTATTGTATAGGTTTGGGCACAATTTATATACACCAAAGACAAAAATAAAAACGGAGAATGTTAACAATGCTTATCATAAAATAACTGTTTTCTACTTTTTGTTTGTTTTGATATTTTCTCTATACATTTATTTTCTTTTTATTTCACATAATTAAAAAAGAATTATGAAAAACATTTGAAAAAAGTGCAACCATAAAAGATTCTGTAGTGTGAACTATTCTTAATATATTTTCTTCAACATGGCTCTAACTACATTTGATTGTCAAAATCTGATCACCTAACAGCTTCTGGATATTGCAGAATATTCATTGTTCAATAAGCACTAGACACATTACACACTGTACACCTCATTATTTATTGCACTTTAATGGTATAACAAGCACCATTCTCAGTAATGGAAAACCCGTGTGTATATACAATCTCATGTCAATAAGGCCCTAATGAACGCTGTCATCAATAACAGGACCAGCACTGAGGGAGGAAGCACCGTCCCTCTGCCAAAGCCGAATGTGGAGTGCATGTACTCCTGAACAGCGAGAAATGACCTCAGTATTACTGAAACGGAATGACTGACACAAAAGTAGCTCAACAGTGAGCCTGAAGCAAGTACCTTGATTTAAACAGGCTGCGGTTCTCCCAAAGTCTCTCTGAGGCAGTATCTCTGGAGGCTTTGGCACGTGACTGTTTACGGCTCTGTTGGGAAACAGGTGGACTCTGGAGAAGTTCCTCCACCTGTTGCCGGCGATGTACATGACCTAGAATACACAGTTTAAAGGTAATAACAAAAGCCATTTTGTTTACCTCATGTGTTTCAATGAATTCCCCCTCAAAGAAAACCCCAAAGCAGTTTAATAGCCTGGTCTTGAATAACAGCAAAGAGATTTGTAAAACTAACTATTAGTTGACAGCACCTGTTTGGCAGCGAAGTATTGCTGTCTTTTCCTTAATCCTGGCTCGTGACTGTAGAGACAGGGGATCCTTCAATGTTGGGGTGGAAATCTGCACCAAAAAACAAAAGTTTTTTAGTCCTTCACTAAATCAGTTGCATACCATTGTTAATGCATTTTGTTTAGTTGTTTAACTATTAACATTAAAAAGAAGATGATATGACTCACTTTGCGATGATGTGGTGTGTTGAAATGGTGCTCGAAGGGGTTGTACTCCAGAGGATCATAACTCTCTAGAAACACAAAACCCTGAAAACACAATATACATTTTAGTTATTAAGGAGGTTTTGGAAATACTGCAGTTTTCATAATTTTCATGTGTTGTGATCATAAAAAATTGATCAAACATTGTTTATTGACAGTGTTATTCCATGGCAGTAATAATAGGCTTAGTAATAATCTTTGCTGAAGTGTGCTGAACTCAAAAATATGCAGTTACTGTACTGTATGTGTTTAATGTGTTTAACCTAAGATATATTCTATTAAAACTATGTTTTTATGAGTATTTTAAAAGGACAATTTTTAGCATTTTTATCTGTAATTATAGAAATTATATGTAAAAAATATAATATTTCTCAAATTGCAACGACACCAAAACTTTGCCATGATAAAGTGTATTCATCTTCTCATGCACCAGTGTTGGGGAAAGTTACTTTTAAAAGTAATCCATTACGATATTGTGTTACTCTATTAAAAAAAGTAACTAATTGCATTACTTTAATGGAAAGTAATGCATTACATTACTTTTGCGTTACTTTTTGTCACCTGAGCTGGGACTGCTTATGAATTTTTAATAACAAAAAAACAAGAAGTTATATTTTTGGCAACTGTAAAGGCCCACACACACACACACGTCTGGTCAGCTATCCTTGTGGGGACTCTCCATAGGTGTAATGGTTTTTATACTGTACAGACCATATTTTCTATTGCCCTACACCAACCCTAACCCTAAACCTACCCCTCACAGGAAACTTTCTGCATTCATTGATTTTCAACAGGTGTCAGTGAATAAATGGGAATACAAAGTACCTTGCATTACTTCTTTAAAAAATAAGTAATGCGTTACTTGAAAAAAGTAATCTGATTACGTAACTCACGTTACTTGTAATGCATTATTCACGCTGTCAACCAAGTTTTTTATTCATGCTTGATACAATTAATCAAGTTTAACATATCTGCCTTGTAACAAGAAAATAGACAGAATTATTTTTTTCTACTATAACAAAAAGTAATATTATTGATATTTATATTGTTAACTGCATTTCTGTACTTTAAAAGCTACATTTAGAAAATTCTCTAATTAAAGGCAGAGTAAGCGATTTCTGGTAGCCAATGTTGATATCTGAAATCACCAAAACAAACACGCCCCTACCCCAAAAGGGTCTTGCCCCTATTTTGATAGCTCCGCCCCACATGTACATACGCAACCCAGGCAACGATTAGTTCTGTGAAACAAAGCAAAACCAATGTTACACCATGTCTACGGACGTGAGCCGATCGGTCTGCACACGCAAACAAAGCCAAAACCTAGATATTTTAGGCAATATAGAAATCCTGGCCAGGACGCGTCCTGGGAAAATGGCACGTATGGTCACCCTATCTTAATGTTACAGTGCATTGCTACTGTAACAGTATGGTTATTCTAACTGCTTCTAATACTGTACCTGTACCTTAGCATTACAGTAGTTAATGTAGTGTGCATGCATGCTCCTCATCTTCTGTGTCTCAGTGTAGCCATGGTGTGTAAAATGTTGCTCAATGCTCTGCTGTACCGGCAGCCACACACTCTGTGTCCAGCGGTTATAGAGCAGTTTACGTTTCCTCAGGTCCAGTGTGCCTCTGTGAGTAAGGTAGTGATCCAGATTCTGTACTGACACACACAAACACAAACACAAACACAAATTATTCTGAGGTAACAGAAAGATTCAAGTCTGAAAGGCCACCAAAAATATTACCTTTATGAATCCAGCCTCAGTCTCCAGCAGCGGCTGTATAATGGCATCAACTTCTTGCTGTTCGGAGTGTAATTGTTCCTGCGGTTGAACAGACAGTAAGTGGAGTGAGTGTGCAACATGTATTTAATACATAGTGTGTTTATATGCAAGTGTGGGTGTACCTGTAATTGTTTTTTGGAGCTGGGACAAAGGGTGTGTTGCGTGTCATCTGCAGTCTTTGTTTGTGTCATCATGCTGGTTTGTTGGTGCCTTATTCTCTTTCTTAATTAATTAATTTCCTGTCTGACTGACGTTCATCAGTTCACTGATGACAGGGGTTTGTAAACACTATGGGCACAAGAGCGATAACACTGACATATGCATAGGTTTATGGCAGTGTTGGAAATCATTTTATATATGTGAACCTGGACAAAAAAAAAAACAGTCAATTTTTCAAGGGTCAATTTTTTTACAATTGAGATTTATACATCATCTGAAATCTGAAATCTCATCTGAAAAATGGTTTGTTAGGATATTTGTCTGAGATACGACTATTTGAAAATTTGGAATCTGAGGGTGCAAAAAAAATCAGAATATTGAGAAAATTGCCTTTAAAGTTATCCAAATGAAGTTCTTAGCAATGCATATTACTAATCAAAAATTTAGTTTTGATATATTTACGGTAGGAAATTTACAAAATATCTTCATGGAACATGGTCTTTACTTAATAACAATGAATGATTTTTGGCATAAAATAAAAATCGATAATTTTGACCCATACTATATATTTTTGGCTATTGCTACAAATATACCCCAGCGACTTATGACTGGTTTTGTGGTCCAGGGTCACATATGCTAAAACAGTCTGATGTTCTCAAGCCACAATCATTACTCATCAAAATACATGCAAATAAATAGTTGATTTCTGTTCTAAAAGCCAATAATATTCTGCTGAATATGCTGTTTAACCCTTTAAAGCCAACTGAATCATATTTGATTTCAAAACTTTGCTGAAAAACTTGTACACAATCTACTACATGCCTTCTGATTGATACTGTCTATACTACAGTATATGAGCTATAAAATCCTGCATTAAATATGACAGAAAAAACACATATGCAAACTTCTTTAATAGATGTAAAATCTCTAAATAAAATGTTCCAATAAAAATAGACTTTTCTCAGTATTATTTTATATGTCAGGCTTTACAGGGTTAATGAACATCTCAATATTTCCTCTCTAATGTGCTGACACAATGACTAATATTAAATATGTTAGAAATCAATTATCTATTTGGAACAACAACACTCGATTTCCTGCTACTGTAAAGCTTAATTTGATTTAAACAAGTATTGTCTCTGTGTTGCTAAATATAACAAGGCTGTGACACCATGGGTCGAGTCTTGTTGCACTTGTTGAGTGTAACCTGAAGTGCAGCATCTAATTCCCCAGGGTTTTCAGCACAGAACACCCTGACACCTCTCTGTACATGCAGGGAAGAAAGAAAAGGTATCCATGCATGAAGTCCTGAGCCGTACAGTGCTGAAAGACTCCGCCTGGC